GTTAGCTGGAAAAACGAAGATGCAACAACGTCCATTCACTTTTGTTCCCCGGGTTACGTTCAGTCGCACGCGAACGTTGAGATCATCTACGTGACCGGCGACGTCGCGCCGCGCTCCTCCGCGTCTCTCACGGCTAATTTAAATTCGATGTCATCAAGAATGACCGACTGAAAATGAAAATATTTACGACAATGACGCGAGATCTTATTAGGTAACAGGCACGTGTCGAGCGTCGAGCCTGATTCAAAACCTCATCCTCGGTTTCCTCCCTGCCTGCTGCTGCTGCTGCTGCTGCTGCAGCCTTGATTTTTATGTAACCTGCCTTCTGCGCTGCTTTCTTTTCTCCAGCGAGCGTTACTAAAAAAGACGAGTCGCCAGTTCTCTGATTCGATTATCGACGAAAAATCCCTGTACGTTTCTTCAACGATTAATTATTTTTCACTCATTGTCGCGTTCACCGTTCTTTACATGACGAAAGCCCGAGCGGATTTCTTCACCCGGTCCCCACCTCATTTGACGATTGAGCAACAGAGCCTCGTAAAAGCGAGTGAAATGAGTAGCGAGCGACTTTTACGTGCCCGATCAAAAAGATCCGCCGATCCCATCGAACAAAAGACGAGTATTTGCAGGAAAAATGCTTTTGTCTCTGCGATTCGTACCGAAAATAACGAATGCACGCGATGCAGTCAGGGAACGGATCAAAGCCCCTCCCTCCTCGCCCCCTTCGTGCGCGACTCCACTCCGGAGAGAAAATACGGAGGGAAGAAGAAAAAAAAGATGGAATTCCTCCCACGATTCTCTCTCGGCGAGCCGACCTCGGACGTACGCTCTTGTTTACGTGTCGCATGCCTGCCGCCTGAACGTTCTCGAGACTCTCTCGAATCCTCGTTCCCATCCTCCTTCTCTCTGTGTCCTGATTTTAGTGAAGTGTTGCGATCGGCATCCGGCGTGTTCGTTTTTTGTCCTCCTTACTCCCGCGTTTGCGCGCGCGTGTCCGCGCTCTCCCTGTCTCTTTGTCACCCGTTTTAAAGGTGCGTTTAGACCGGTTCGACCGTGCGATAGAACAGAGAACGGAGCTCCAAATATATCAAGAATATTTCATGCCGGACGATTGATATTTTTTTGACGATTGATTATTTTTAAAACAGTGAGATCGATATCGTTCAGTTCAATTATTATTGTTTAATTCCAATTGTCATTAATAGTGAAAATATAAAAATTGGATTTGTTAAAGCGAGGCTCCTCGTCGTCCAGCGAGGATAACGCGGCTGTTACATGTCGGACGCGCGCGACGACCGTGAGAGTCCCATTTTATCTCGTACAAGGATTCCTCGCTCGATATTATTCGCCTCCACCTCGACACGCATCGCCGGTATTGGTCGCCTCCTCGGTTTCTGTAAATGGGGAAACAGCCTTTGGCTGTAGTACCCATGAATACGTGAACGATTTCGAAACGATAGACGCAAGTCTAAGGAGAAGTTATTTGAGAAATTAAGTAGTGATACATTTTCCCACGTCTCTGTTCAGTGTCAATACTTTAATACAGTGAAATCGATGGGGGGAAAAGTTACTAAATCTGGAATTCCATATTTCTTTCTTGAACGCCGTTAATAAACGACTATTTAATGCGCTTCGTATTCGGTTTCCTGCTAGGCGCGCATATTCGCACCCTTGTGCGCCGGGAGCGAGTCCCCGGTGTGCCCTTCGCGTCCTCCTCTAAACGACCGACGAATCACGGACGTTAGACGCTACCGACGATTGTTTCCTTCTTTCTTTATCGCACGGCGCAAACTGTATGCAGTAGGCGCTTTTGTTGCGTGCCGAGTGGGCTCTAGTTGACGAAATATTGACATCCGAGAAGAGAAACCCGTTGCAGGCTTTACAGTAGGGGCCTGGCCCGCCCCTGGAGGGGAAGGACCGAAGGGGAGAAGGAATATACATACATACATATATATATATACACGGTCAGGGATAAGGGTGAACGCGAAGAGAGCGTCGAAGGGAAAAAAGGCATAGGTTCGACGGGTCTCCCTCTCTTTTTCGGTCCTCCGTCTTTTTCTCACCCACCACCCTTTCCCTGCGTCTTTCTCTCACCCCCGTCGGCGTTGCACTCATTGTCAGCAGTGAATTTAAAGAGGGTGGCACGCGGATGACGTCAACCTTCGAAATGCTCCCCGCGCTATATCTGGACGGTAAGTACGTTACGCGTGTACACGGGGTGTCGCGGAAATCTAACACCACGGAGACAATGACTGCCTGCGCGTAGGAAAAGAGAGCGCTAGTCCCGAGCATCACCCGTTAATGGGAATTTATTTATCCGAAACATAGTTTTTAGCAATATCCTGCGCCTTCTTATTGATTCGTAGTCCGTGTTAATTATAATCGACCACACGTACACCACGTCATCCGTTTACACTGGCCTATTGAACCGTGTTCAATAACAGGATGCATGGAAAAATTTGGAGTGGCCCGGCAGACACGGAGTAAGATGAATGGAATTTTTAGCCCGGATACGGTTCAGACGTTATTGTCGTGACACTTTTCATTTGCACGTATTACCGTTTATTAATGGCACGTGAACGCGCGTAACCAGGCGTATACGTAATAATTGGAATGATAATACTTATGTGACCCGATGTGCCTAATTGGTGTACTCGAAGATTTACTAATAACGGTCCCGACAATGTCCTTCTACGTGTGCCCGTTTACGAACGCCTTATATTCCCTCCTGACGTACGTATGGATGTATTGTCCGCGCGACGTACGTACGTATACGCAAGCGACGCGGATGTGTTCCACCGGCGACGCATTGAATTCGACCGAGAGGCTATTATTCGAAATTTGTTTTTGTTCGATGCGCCATAATCGCGTCTCGAGGACACGGCGCACGGGGAGAGGGCTCTCTCTTTTTCGTTTTTACCGATGAGAGGAGGCGCCCCTCTCTCCCGTTGACTTTGAAAACCGCTAAGGGTCAACCGAGCGAAAAAACTAGAATTATTTAACGAACGATTTAACAAGGTTCTTCATTTATTAACATTCTTTCACTAATTCCGGAGAACAGTATGCAGGTATTCTGTCCCGATCGTAACATGCTAAAAATCGTTATCAGCTTGTAGTAAAACTCGAATGTCCATAAATTGGTATCTTATCAAATCAACCGATTGCTCGCTCTATATACGATTCTATCGAATTCAAGGCCTGCAATAAACAAACGCGTTTATGCCGAAACAGTGATTTCGAGCTGGTCGTAAGAATTCTTTTATATGCCCCCCTGCGAATGAAACATTCCACCACCGTTAATAAAGAGAGAATGCGAATCTTCCATGAAAGAATTAAATCAATGTAATTATTGCGGCATGCGAAATACCTCGAATCGAATGGGAACTGTTTGTTGTGTGCGAAAGCGCGCGGGAACGTTTAAACTGCTGGCCGATCGAAAAGTTCCGACGAGATTGAAGGGGAAGTCGCTTTTGCGCAGAAATTCCCAGCCGAAGTTTTATACGATTTCCGCGAGCACGCGCAAGAGCCGTGCGTCTCGTGCACGTGGTAACGCGATATCGCGCACCTTCGTCCACGGTACGGTACGCACGGTGCACTCTTTCACGTGGTTTCCCCGAGTTTCGAACATTATGCAGAACAATGGTCATAATATACCCTTGTTCACGACTTCTTTCACGTCACTAAGTAATTTTCCCTCGAGTATCGTCGCTTCGGGTTAAATTTCTTTACAATCCCCATTAAACAGTTCCAGCGTCTCTTATAAAACCGGGTTTATTTTTACGCGCCGCGCGTTATTAATAAATGCTGGTCGGGAATAGAGACTTGTTGATCTTCCACTGGAACCGTGAATGTTTCCGTTTGCGGGGAGAGCTCGCATGTATTTATTCGCACCGTCGAGAACCGCGTCGACGACGGACGCGGGATGGTAGCACCGCGGCGCGGCGCGCAGAGCAAAGCGGCGTTTGTAGCAGAACGGTATTATAAGCGCAGCGAGAGAGCACGGCAGTGTGTGAATAGAGAGCACGTGCATTTCCCACAGAAAACCAATAGGGGCCTTGGCCAGCTGGGAATATGAACGGTGCGGAGCGGCGCAGGGTTCGGTCTGTCTTTCGATCTTTTGGGGTATACGCGCGCGCCTCGGAACGGGGACAGAGGCGAAGGCTACTCGAAAAGAGCGAACAATGTTCAAGGCCTGGGACGTATCGATAGAAGGGCACGACAAAGCGTTCGACTTCCTCCTTCCCTGTATCTTAAATGTAGTTCCGTCCGCGTCCCGTAAAATGAGAAAAGGCTCCGATGCCGAGGCCCCCGGCAGGTAAATCGATTTTTAAAGAAGAATTAGAAGCCGCTGGAAAAATTAAGACGTTCCCGTTCGATCCCCTTTCACAGTATATTTGCTCCTCGTTCGACGTTGGGAAAAAATTTTATTGTTCGCACCAGCGTAGGTTTGCCCATTATTCCTCGATACCTTCTTTTTTTTCCTTTTCGTTTTGTTCTCTTTTTTTTATAGTGCCGATAAGCATTTTACGTGCTGCCTCAAGCGAAGATAACACTAATCGAAGATTGCAACGTAGCAGTTTGTACCTACGCGTTTTTTTCTAATTCCATTCGGCGCACGTTGCGACCAGTTTTTACAAGTTATTTTTCTTTTTTCTTTTTCGTACTCGGATGCGCGAATTTTCGATAAGTGGGTTTGTTATAAAGTCAATTAGTTCCGGTGATTAAATAATATCGGCCGTAATAAGCGTGGCTGTGGCGCAACCCACGCGATGCGCGATTTAAATTGACGACCTTCTCAAATAATTCAACGATCATGAATAACTAACGTATATTATTGCCGCGCCGTGGAAAATAGAGAACGTTGCGATACAATCGATTGCTCGTGGACACACAGTTCCAACGCGAATCTGACCTAAACAAGCTACCACTGTCCATATTACGCTCACCATGTAAATTCATGCAGCTAATTCACGGTTTTTTTTCTTTCTTTTATTTTTCAGAAGCTCGGTTCTTTTTGACACGTTTTTACAAGATATTTATACCCGCATTCATTTGCGGCGTTCCTTGAAAGAAGATTCAAAAACACCATCAACAACGGCGGCGATCGGCGTTGGGGTCCAGCCCGTGTTATCATCCGGCTATCATAGCGCGGTGCCACCCCAGAACGGCGGTGGTGGTTCGACATTTAGTGCCGCGGCGATGGTGGCAGCTGCCACCGCTACGGCCACCGCCACTGCCAGCGTGGTGGCCATGCAGGACCGCCAAGACATCCCCTCCCAATTCAATCAGGTACCATTTTCACCCAGCGATTATAACAGATTTTATCAGTCGATCGGATTAAACATGGTTTTACTCGTCTGTCTCTTAGATGCAGAGCCAACATGGAATTCCCCATCAAACCTACAACGCAGGGTACGCCCAAAGAGGACCAATGGCCGGAATGGGGCCAGTCGGGATGAACAACTTTAATAGTATGGGCACGATGAGCCCGATGCACTCTATGAATTCCATGAATTCGATGAACAGTATGAATGGAATGAATTCGATGAATCCTATGTCGATGGGAGGTATGAACGGTATGAGTGGAATGAACGGGATGACGCCCATGAGCTCCATGAGCAACATGGGTAACATGAGCATGAACAATATGATGGGACCTAACAACATGCAAATGAACAAGATGAGCATGCAGGTGTGTAAAGCATATCTACTTTCGTCAAATGAATGAAAAACCACGAGAATCGTATTTAAACGTTTGTAATATCTGTTTCCAGGCTCAACCCCACCAAGGTTATCCAAGGAGATTAGCGCCTTATCCGAACCCTGCGATGCACATGGCGCAGAAGAGGCAGCAAGGACCGTACGCCGGCCCGAACCCGGCAGCGATGCAGCCGGCGTTCAACGGCATGTCATCGTCGCAGTATCCGACCAATTATCCAGCGGCGGCGAGGCCAAACTTCCAGTCGCAATATCAACCTATGCAAACTATGAATCCCTCTGCCGCCGGCTTCGGGCCCAACACTATGATACGTACTAGCAACATGAGGCAAACGGCGCCGTCATACAGCACCCCGAATCAGGCGGCTAGCAACCAATACTACGGTAGCAACGGCATACCGGTCAGCATGGGACCTACGACGGTCGGAAATCAGTTCGTCGGGCATCAACCGAACTCAGGGTACTCCGGCGGCGCGACCTCGTACGGCGCAGCCGGGGCCGCGAGCAACCAATACCAACCGGACGTCGCGTCGATGAGAACGACGGCCACGGGGAGTCTGAACTATCAGCACAGTCCAATACCGGGTAATCCAACTCCGCCGTTGACCCCGGCAACAAGCATGCCTCCCTACATCAGTCCCAATCCGGACATCAAACCTAACTTCAACGAGATGAAGTCGCCGGTTAACATTCAGAGTAAGTCGAGTTACTTCGAAACGATTATGAACTTTTATAGAGAGATCGCTTTGTAACGGAACATTGTCTTGTTCTGTGCAGAGGACGATGAGTTAAGATTAACATTCCCCGTGAGGGATGGCATCATCCTTCCACCCTTCCGCTTAGAACATAATCTGGCTGTAAGCAACCATGTATTCCAATTGAAACCAACGGTGCATCAGACGTTGATGTGGCGGTCCGACTTAGAACTGCAACTCAAGTGTTTCCACCACGAGGACAGGCAAATGAACACGAACTGGCCGGCGAGCGTACAGGTCTCTGTGAACGCTACGCCGTTGGTCATCGATCGCGGTGAGAATAAGACGTCTCACAAGCCCTTATATCTGAAGGACGTTTGTCAACCAGGGAGGAATACGATACAGATCACTGTATCAGCGTGTTGTTGTGTAAGTTGCTAATTTAACGCCGAACACTATGTTCCTGAATCGATTTCGAATTCGAATTTGCACTTGATCAGTACCTCTTTTCTGTTTCACAGTCCCACCTGTTCGTACTTCAATTGGTTCATCGGCCAAGCGTGAGAAGCGTGCTTCACGGATTGCTGCGTAAAAGGCTACTCACGGCCGAACACTGTATTACTAAAATTAAACGAAATTTTAATAATACTATTACGAACAACGGTATACAGTCCGAGAAAGACGTCGTGGAACAAACAGCACTTAAGGTGAATGTAAGATTTGTTGATCAGCAATGCTGTGTCACAGATCAGTCGTTCACCAACGTCCGATTCTGTGTATTACAGGTATCGTTAAAATGTCCTATTACTTTTAAACGCATCACACTGCCAGCCAGAGGACACGACTGCAAGCACATTCAGTGCTTCGACTTGGAATCGTACCTACAGCTAAATTGTGAGCGAGGATCTTGGAGATGTCCTGTATGCACGTGAGTAGTTTCCCGATTCGACTTACAAAAAAGAAATAAATATTTCTTTCGGCCTCGGTTAACAGTTTTGATATTCGTATACAGGAAACCTGCACAGTTGGAAGGTTTGGAGGTGGATCAATACATGTGGGGAATTTTGAACACCCTGAATACCGCCGAGGTGGAAGAGGTAACGATAGACTCGATGGCGAATTGGAAGCCGGCGAAGAATTTAACCAGCATCAAGTCTGAGGAAGAGAGCGACTGTAAAAGAATGACAAAGGCGATGTCCCCTGGAAGTATGAACATGCCTACTATGAATAGTTGGGACATGAATCAGGCGATGAGCCCGTACATACCGCCGGACATGAGCAGCATCGTTAGCGGCTCTATGATGAATAACACGCCTACCACGTACAGTAACAATAACATCAATCATCGGAATTCATCGGGAGGATCCTTCGATATAAATTCCGGGACAACTACGAATGCCAATAACGACTATACTAACGGAGCTGGGCCTCTATCACATTTAAATGAGTCCGTGAACTCCTTGGATCCTCTCAATGCCATGGAGAAGTCGCTTAATGATCAGGTAATTATTTACCGTGTAAATATAATTAAACGGCCACAGTTGAGAAATTGTATATTAAATATTCTGCTCCGCTTCTGTTATAGATGCCTCATACACCGCATACGCCTCACACCCCTCACACGCCGCACACGCCGGGTGGCGGGAACAGCGGTCCGCCGAGCGTTCCTCCTGCGTCTCAGGAATCTACAGGGAACCACAATACGTCTGGCAATACGAATACAAACATAACTAATGACTCTGCAGACATACCATCGGACTTGAATTTCGACCCAGCTGCAGTAATAGCCGGAGAGGGTACAGGCCAAGAAGCATTGAATGTAAGTATAGTAGTTTATATTTTTAATATCACGCTTCGAAATATTATAGTATGATATTTATTTATTTTCTATGTTCGTTACAGCTCTTGCCAGATAACGTTGTGGATCCGATGGAATTATTATCGTATCTAGATCCACCTGATCTGAATACGCCTCCTAGTAGTGGAGCTAGCAGTGGTAACCCTTCATCGAGCGATGACATTCTAGCACTCTTCGAATAAGAAGAGAGAGGCACCAAATCCATGTCGTAAGAGGAATAATCAAATCGCTACCCTGACGTTTGAACGTCGACAAGAGCATCGGCAGGTTTGCTAGTTACTACAAACATATTTTTAATCGGACCGAAGGAAATACTTGGTAGTGCACACGAAAACGAACGTTTCAAACATAACGTGGGGTTACTGTTGGGTGCTTGCACCTAATGCAATGGTACAAAAAATTTTAGCTCTAATTATGATATTCCTATTGATCGAAGTTAGGGCATATTACTTAGATTTAAAGAGGAGGACGACTTTTAATCGATAGGACGAAAACGAAGGCATCCCGCCACTGGTTAGTGACTCGTTTGTAAAGATGTTATTGCACGGATTTCGTTTTAGTCCATTCGAAACGTTGGACGTTTCTCCTTTTATTTTTTCCTCCGTTCCCAATAGTGAATCGCGCGTTATAACATTGTGCCGGGCATATGTTCCAGAACTGATTCACACTCCGCGTGACACGTACCACAATTATATTAATTCCTATTTTGGATAGGACAACAATGGTAACTGAGTTTTTAATACCGAAACGTAGTAGGTGGTTAATATTTCCACGACGGGTTTTACACGTAGACACTACGGGGAAAAATGTTTGTTTAATACGATAAATGTGCAATACAATCTCGAGGTAATTTGCACACTGTTTTATACACGTTGCCATTTGTCAATTTTTTCCATTCCGAAATGAGTTTTTACACGATCTATACATTTGAAGGCGAAGTTACTAACATCTGTTTCTTATATTTGGTACAAAACAGCTCGATGAATTTTCATTAACGTAAGTAATCTGACGCAATGAATTATGAAAATCGTGCAGCACATTTATAAAGATTTTATATCGAGAACACAGACTCATTCTCCCTTTGACTCTCGAGGCTCGAGATCGACGCGATATCAACACAATAATGATTTTTAGAGAACCTATCTATATTTTAGTGTAACAATCGAAACTGGTTAACGAATTTATCGATGTTTGGAATGTTTGCTTGACAAAATGTACTGTGCTGAAAGACTACGAGTTTTTAAGTACTCCCTGCAATACGATCTTTACCTCGGAAATCGGTCTACTCGCATTTCAAGGCTATGATGGACCTATACATCACAACAGATCTAAGATTGTACAGTGACTTCTGTAAATAAGTTTTAATCGAGGAGATGAAAACAGAATAGATAAGTCATTCATCTGTTGTGAATTTACCCTGCTTATTGATGGTATAGCGTACATAGTGTTCCTTTTCCTTTAGATGATTAGTGACAACAGATGAAAACGAATCTTGGTCGTCACGGGCTTCACCCTGGTACTCACACTTCGGTGACTCGTATCCTCCAAGAGAATACGTAATCAAAAATATCTTGTTATGCTTCGTTTTAAAAATGATTAACTTTTATTTTGTTCACAAATTATCAATTACGAAACGTTATTCTCATTGTTATAAATTATTGGTAGAAACTTCTTGAAGAGATCCTCAAGAAATTCTAAAAAATTTATTTTTTAATCTAGTAAACGTTTTTTATTTTTCGTTCGCTGAGATATGAGAATAACAGAATAAATATTTCGTAACATATTGAATCTTCGACGATACGTCAAATCCTCGTGTGATTTTTTTATGTTTAATTTTGTCTTTCTGAATCGAAGTGGAGTTTTGTAATATCGAAAAGTATAAGTTGTATCGTTAAGTTCTGTTCTAAAATTATTATCGAGTGTAGAAAATATGATTTTTCGTTTGACCAATATTATTGTTAGCTTTAGGTACCAGAGTGACATAGCCCGTTGGCCCACAGCATTCGTAGTAGTTAATAAACATATATCTTTTGTGATTAAAAGAGAAGATATACTTAAAGTGATTCATGTAGATTATACAAATTTTATATAAAAGTGTATTTATATTCCAGTGTGCAACCACACTAGTGCACATTGACGGATTAGATGCGGTGAAGTTTCTATTGATATAAAACTATTATAACATTATTGATGATAGGTTTATTATAATATTGCTTAACGTTAAGGGAGATTATTGTATATTACCTGTATATATGATAAATAGATTAATAATATAAGTAAAAAAAAACGTGGCAGATACTTATTGGCCAGTTATAATAATAAAATAATTATCATAATTATTTCTCAGAACCAAAACATACGAAGCGTTGTATGAGAATTAACTATAAAACAAAAAAAAGAAATAACACTAGAGAATGTAACATGTAAATGAACACAGGAACGATAACAGTCGCTGAACTGTTATTTCTAATAGAATTATTACTTAACTATTAAAGACATAATTATCGAAAAAAAAAGTTTATTCAAATTGTAAGCTTTACTTAGGATCGCCCAGAAGTAGGCATGTGCGACGTTCCTCGTTGCAACTGTATATAGGCAATGTCTACCTATACCTACTTAATAATATCCTAAAACTACATGATACACGGTCTTGGTTTACGGGTTGTAGAGATTTATAAGTACCTGGTATCCATTCATGAAATTATTAATAGCATGTTTCATAAGAAATGAAACGATCATTCGCTTTAGTTTAAGATACAGAAAATAAGAAATTATAGTATAATCAACTATTCCAAGTATTATTTAATTAAATAAACTGGCGTATTTAAAAATCAAATGAATGACGGTATCAGATCATTATGAATCTCTACAGCTTCACGATTATATACCTATTTATCTATTGTTAGGAGGCCTATGATTTGATCTTACAGTGCGCCACTGAAGACTTAAATGATCAAATGTCGCGTGTGTTGTCTTGTCCCAAGACCTGGGCAGCTTCACCAAGAAAGTGAAAATATTTTCATGTAATACGAACACAGCTGTACCTACTTATGGCACGAAAATATAATTGAAAAATCTATTGGGATGAGCATTTACGGACGATACTTTCAATTCATTTGTTGAATTCGTTCGAATGTTAAAGTTAGTGTAGGTCATCGATTTTAAATACTGTATAGTTAACTTAGTGATTACCTCTATCAAAACTAGATAATGGACCAAATTTTGATTAAACGTGTGGTTTAGAGAAAATTGATTCAATTTCGAGTGTGACGATTGTTCGTATATTTTGAGTATCCAAGCTCTGGACAGATTGCTTCGACACAGTCTCGTAAATTTACGAACAAGATTATAGCCGGTATTCATAGTCGTTGATTATTCTTAAGATTGTTTTCAGCATTTGGTATCCCATATTTCCAGCAACTATCTTGTACAGAAAACAGGGACTAAATGCTTGAGGTGTGTTTTAATATAAGTAACGACGCTGAATACCAGCCTATATATCCAAAAATGTATGATTTAAAGACAAGATCATAATTTAGACAGAATAACCGACCGTTTCAATAGAGTTCGGTATTCTTCATAATTATCTAATTATTTGTTTAAACCGAATGAATAACAAAAAAATATAAAAGTGAGTTGATTGAATGGATACAATTATCATGTAATTGAAATTCATTTACTCAATGCGTGGCGTTTCTTCTGTCCATAGAAATGTTTTTATACAGCAACATTTTTATAAATCTCTACTTATGATCGTTACCCAAAACTTTTCATAAATGTTTCTTAGACAGGCGAACTATGGTGATGTTTCATTGATCGATACGCAAAATATACGTATGTATGTATTTATCACGGCCGCCATAAGTGATTGGGTACAGACTTGTGCGAATAAAATTAATTAACAAAATGAAAAATTGCACGTTATGAAGAAAACACTGATATCATTGGTTATACATTCATGTAAAGAAATTTTAATACACAGACCAGTTTATAATATGTATGACAGACACCACATTGTTTCTCAATAACAGTTAGAAACATTCAATAAAAAAGTCATAAAATATTGAACGCTATTTTTAAATTCCTACAAACCATCCTTCTTTATAAATTAATTATTACAGAGAAGACAAATATATATTTTCCATTTTTACATCAAAACGAATTAGAATTCCTCTAGAAAAACGTGGAAGTTCGATGGCCTATAATTTTGCAATAAATAATTAAAAACGGATGAAATTTCTCATGTTGGAAATGGACAGGCCTCCTTTTTAACATGCCGTTTGATTCACCTCGATTCGACTTTCTGTCGTTATTCTTCTCGCACGTTGACCGGTCTAGACACTCAGCTGATTCGTGTAAAGGTCGATGACCCGTGTCAGTGATTCAAAACGCTGCACTTAAACTTTGCAAGTCTATATTTCTGGAACAGATTGAGCTATCGGGATGGATCAAACGCGATTTTATTCGTCTTGAATTCCTCTATCAATTATTAGTAACAAGTAGCAAACTCGCTCTTTCTAACTTCTCTTGTTACTGATCATTTCGTTACTGTTTCATATATTAATTTAAACTCATCTCGAGAAATGGACTCTTAATAGAAAATATAGACAATTTTGATAAAGCAATCGAATCAGGAGTACTCATTACTAGTCCCAGCAGAAAGTATACATCATTTTGTTTTCTCAAGGATCTCGATAAAAGAAATTCTTATATTAACGATAAAGGCTTCATATCAAATAAAAATTTGACAACAATTGACAACGAGATATTCTAAACGACATTTAATTTATGAAATAGTAATCATGGATATATTGATCCGTTTTTCATGGATTTTTTAAACGTTTATTCTAAGCATTTTTTCAATATGCACAAAATTATCTTATCGAATTTTTTCAGTAACAATTATACGTGTTTCTTGCCAATCGTTTAAGATAGCTTGCATGACATTGGAACAAAGTGGCAAGTAACAATAATTACGGTTTTAAACTGTTTCCTGAACAAACAATTTCGCCTTTATAACTAAGGAACTACAACACGATGATGTAAAAGACTAAATACTTCCAATAAAGAAAACGCAACCCAAGCATTTTTAAAGAAGTAATTATCGAGACTTACCTGGCGTTTAAAAGTAATTCTCGTAGCTTTAATAACACAAATCACCAAGTAAAAGCAGGCAAAGATTTCAACGCGCTGAAACCTTTGAAGAACGACTTGTTTCAGTAGTAAATCTCACGCTGTCTCTGATGTAAAAGAGAAGAACTGGCAAACTGTTTCAGTTCTTCCTTATACGAGACTGTAGTCAAAGATTCATGTGGTCAATGGAGCGCGCAGGATAATACTGAACCTAAAGCAACTATTACGGCCACTATTTATACGAGAAAGATAAGTACTTATCAGGCAGGCTTTGCATGGTTCCAAGTCAACGTCAGGGACTCAGGAAATACATGTTTCACAAATATCCAGTGGGACGTATGGAGGGGTAATGCACATGCCACTCGGAGGTCAGATCTTCATTGAGGACTATAATTAGCGAACTTTTAACAAGACATTTCGTTTTTCCTCAATAACTCCCGAACGGATGGACGTAGGGGGGTGTATTTAGGCTCATTTTGTAGGGGACGACGAGATCTACAATTTCTGTGCAAAAAGAATTCGCTAGCTTCAATAGTTTACGAGTAATTTGCAAAAAACTGTTCTTTCGTTTTTCGTCAATAACTCGTTAAATATTGATGCTAGCGAAGAACTGTTATATAGAAATTCTCTAGATTCTAGAGATCTCGCCGTCCTCTACAAGAAAGGTCGTATGCATTTATCCCGTACGACCAACGATTTAGGAGTTATTGTGGAAAAACGAAATTTCTTGTCAAATGTTGGCCGTTTCGAGACTGGGATGGTCGGATTTTCTCAACACCTACAAAATGCCGATTAATCATACTTAACTCGTTAAATATCGAAGTTAGATGAAAAATTCATAGAATTTTCCTTGTAAAGGACATCATTGCCTATAATTACTGTATAAAATCTTTTTCGGTAGCGTCAATTCTTGTAACAAAAATGTAAGTCTATCTGTTAGGTATGAGAAAGGTCTTATGCAATTTCCTTTTACTTCGAATAAATGAAGAATCAAATTTGTGATTTAATTACATTAGATTGTAGTTTTTGACTCGGTCCCATTTTATCAGATCTCATGAACAGTTGAACTGGTTGCACTGCAAACAGTGCAAACTGCAAGGCAAGTATGCACACTATTCACACAGACATCCAGATTTTCTGTTCGTTCAGTAGATGCCGCCGCTTTGTGGAGGTCAGATTGTCAACAGTATAACCTCAGTCCTCCTTTCGAGTCACGTGTAATAATTTCGTTGACAAACGAAATAACATTAGTTAAAAACTTGATAAGTGACAATCCTAATAATTAAAAATCATTCTCGCGTGAAGTGAAATAGAATTGCTTCACTAATGTACGTGAATTACTATATTTAAAGTAATGAGATAAACAAACACAACATTGTTAAAAAATGAGTGATTCGGAGCAAGAGAACGGACCTAAAAAGACAGGGCCAGTGGACAACGCTTGGTCGTTAAAGATTCCCGAATTTAAACCAGAACACAATCCCAATCGTCTTCTGGAAGAAAGTTCATTCGCGACGTTGTTCCCCAAATACAGGGAACATTACCTAAACGAACATTGGCCCTTGGTGCAGAAAGCCTTGGAGGAGCATGCGATTAAAGCTGAATTGGACCTGGTCGAAGGCAGCATGACCGTGAAAACTACAAGAAAAACGTGGGACCCATACATTATAATCAAAGCTCGGGATATGATCAAGCTTTTGTGTAGATCCGTTCCATTTGAGCAAGCAGTTCGAGTCCTCCAGGACGACATTGGTGCGGATATTATAAAGATATCTTCGTTCGTAGGCAATCGGGAGAAGTTCGTGAAAAGAAGACAGAGACTGATCGGTCCGAAAGGATGCACGTTGAAGTCCATAGAATTACTGACAAACTGTTACGTTCTTGTACAAGGACAGACAGTGTCCGCGTTGGGTCCTTACAAGGGTCTTCAGCAAGTAAGGCGCATCGTGGAAGATACTATGAAGAACATTCATCCGATTTATAACATTAAGGCATTGATGATCAAAAGGGAATTAGCGAAAGATCCGAAATTGAAGAACGAGAATTGGGAGAGGTTCCTTCCTAAGTTCAACAGTAAGAACATCAGCAAAAGGAAGCAGCCTAAGAATAAGAAAGAGAAGAAGCCGTATACTCCGTTCCCGCCGCCGCAACAGGAAAGCAAGATTGATAAGATGATAGCTTCGGGTGAGTATTTCTTGAAGGAGGAGCAGAGGAGAGCCAAGAAGAAGAAGGAACAGGAGGCCAGGCACCAGGAGGCTGAGAAGAAGAGGCAAGAACGCAGAGCACAGGCGTTCGTCCCTCCCGAAGAGAAGCCAGAGGAGAAGAAGGGGCAGAGGAATGATATAAACTTAGAGGAGTTTAAGATGAAAGTGAAGAAAGGACTGAAGAAACGTGGTGCAAAATCATAGTACTTGCACGCAAGGTATTTGTTAATAAATCTCGATTCGCTGACTTCTGAATTAGTTCCATCGTTTTATTAGAAAACCTCGTTTCTATAAGTACTATAATATCGCTTCCTTAACGTACGAAGTGCAAATATATATAAGCATATACCAGCCGTATATATTTATACATATTTTGATTTTTTAGTATGATACATGTGTAAAGTACAGAGTCGTAGAAATGCAACGCGTACAATTTGAAGACGGGTATTACATATCCTATATCGAAGGTCAATTCTCTTTGTGGAAATTGTAGATTCGTTACAATTTCACAATTTACGTTTATATATACTGTGTTTTCAATGTACCAACTTCGTAGAACATAGCGTCAGGTCTCAATTAAAAAGCAACCGGTATGTTTAACAGATTCAAACGATCAACGATCCCTTCCTCGCAACGTGAGACTATAATTTGTAATAAAAGATTCAACGTATCATAAATAGAATAGAGAAACTGGAAACATTCGTGTTAATGTACAGGTGTATTTGTTATTAACAGGGCACGAAAAATCGCGTGACCCTTTTCATTTAATCCTTACATATTAAAATGGAGCCGCCCGTTCTATTATCTTACAGTTTACAGATTTTTGCATGGAAGTACGAAGTTTTTACTCAGCTTATTTATATCGTAGACACGCTTATGTACAAGTTCAGCACGCGATTATGGTTGTTGCATCCGCGATACGCCGCGGACCAAGTTTTTAATTGTTTTAAATCGGAGATGCCTTAGGACGGGAGACAGACGATTGCGTAATCGATACAAGTATTTACAGCGCGTCGATTTCGCGAGGAATCGGAAGTTCGGAAGTAAGCAGTTGCTCGTTCATCGTTTCACAAGTTTTGATATCCTCGTCGAATTACAACGCGTAGCTTTAGAAAATCTTATCCAGGGACTGGGAGGAAGCTTAGGTGTAAATGTTATTATCGTCTTGTAGCATTTGATTTTTTTGATCGAATAAAAATCGAGATATTCGAATTGAACAGTGCACGTCGAATCTGTAAAGCTCGAGCGAAAAGAATGTGATATACTCATAAGAGCTTTTTAGTAAACGAGACCTTACATACGTAAAATGTACAGTTTCGAATCTAATTTGTTATGTTTGATAGCTTAGCTTAACGTGTTTTATGATTAGAAACAATTCCTCTCTCTCACACACACGTTCTCTTTCTCTCTCTTCGAATGTACACAGCTTCTGCGAAGCTATGAACGCGTATAGGCGATTAGGGTGCGCGCTCTTATCATACAAAAGCTTACAATAACTCGATAGCGATGACTTCGGTTTGTATAATATAATTATTCGAGGCTCGAATGCGAGATGACGGCAGTCGCATTGTTGTCCTCGTGAAAGTATCGGTGTACAAAAGACCTCTCCCTACGTATTGCTGCATTATTAGTAAGTCGCACCATTCTACTCGTCTCCGATCCACTCGACGAGTCGGACAATTCAATAAATATTGTCAGCAAGAATAAAACGATGAAAAACAGGGAACAGAATTATTTGTTGAACGAATATTTAAAGACACGTCGAGTCTTCGTGGAGCGAGCACACCAATTCCCAGCTACTCGCACAACCAAGTAAGTGTACAATTTTCTTATAGAAAAATAAATCTCTTTATGAGAATCGTTAGCGTACGCGTTTGTATGAAGCAACTCGATCTTGCGATACGAACCGACTTTAACGAGCCACATACGATACCGTGCGTATGTGTTGGCTATAAATAATAGTCGATCAAGAAACAGCGTTTTTTGCTGCTTTAACTTCGTTTGTTTCAAAGGAAAATTTGTTATGTTTCGTTTGGATGCTCACGGAACGACGTGTTTAAATGAGAATTTATAAATATGCATTTCAATGTTGATATTAAACGAACGGTGAAACAGTCTATGATTTGCTTAAAATTATCACGCCGGAGTACTTTCCCGCCGGGGTGTCTCGGGTTTTAATCTACGCGAAAAAATGTCCAAAAACGATATACCCGTTTGAGATCATCGAGTTTAAATGTAAATGCACCGGAATGAAAATGCCTCGAAACAACTCTACGCCCGACTAGGATCACTAAAAACGCTCCTCGTCCTTACAAATATACAATCAATTAAAATAAAAAGCGTAGATCCATTCATCACAAATCAATTCCATACACGATCTTTAATTCTCCTAAAAAAAGACAACCGAACTGCTACTCCTAAAAGAGGAATTCAATTCCAATTTCTGTCTCTCTTCAATATCCTTCCACTGTATCTATAAGAACATCGGAAAGGATGCATCATCCTTCGAATTAGATAGTTTTTCGTTCGTTGCGAACGTCTCCCTTTTTTCTTCGAAAGACAAGCTTCATAGCGGCTCGCCGATGAGCAACATCGATCTCGGATCGATCAGGTCGACCTCCCTGAACAGGTCCACGCGTCTCCTTCTGATCAGATACTCCACGATTTCGGTCCTTCGTGAGTGACGACGGCATCGCAGCCTTCACGATACATTCATCATTCCCAGGAGCTAGTGATTATGATTGTACAGATGCCACCTTTGCGTTTCAGCGTTCGAGTCGCATTTCTCAGCCGTGATGCCTCGTTGTGCGTGATATCTCGAGTCCACGCACACGGGGATTCTCGAATGACGGATCAAGCCACCCTCGAGGTGTCTCCATTTCTGATTTTCACTGCCATCGCAGATCTGCATCAGAAGCGTGGTTCCTTTAGCGTACACCGGCAGAGTGAGGCAGAGGTCGTGGTGCTTGATAAGACCGTCCTTCGTCAAGCCCCATTCCTAAAAAAATAATTTCATTTTATTAGAAAATCTCTAAATTGATTAATAAATTAATGCAAATAAGCAAGGAATTATAAATGATATTCACTTGGTTGCCGCCAGTGTCGTGGCACGGATAAAGTCCAACGTTTCCATCGAGGAGATGACCCATGCTGTCGAGACACGCGGAGCCCTGCTTCAGCGAGCCGCCGGGTCCGCCTTCGCTCGTCGGTATAACTAGCTCCGGGTACACGTTTTTCAGATACCAGCTGAAGGGCTTGCAATGCAATTTCCGCTTCAACTCCATCCTGTCCTGAATACTGAAACAAGGGGAACGGCGACCGGGAATCGTCGTTTTATTAATACGGCTCACGTGCGCTGACGCGTTTTAATGAAATCGACTATTGGGTATTTCGGGCAGCGCGAACCGCGCGACCGTAAATCGAGCTTCGTATCGGTTCTGTGCCGCGACGCAGAAATTAATTTTAGTTAACGATAAACGATCGAAAAGGAAATAAACTTTGCCCGTTCCGAAACTTCGGTCAATGAATCGAGAGTGTCGCGAAATTGTTGATCGCTTTTACAAGCCAGTAGTTGTTCCTATGTAATTTATACTCTCCGCTTCATGCGTAATTTATGATATGATTATGATAGAAATATGAAAAGGAACATTAGTTTATTCTACACGATCAGAATAGAATGATTAATTGTAGTAGAATTTGAATGAAATCTTTTGATGAAGGAAACAAGGATACTCACTTTCCGTAAGGTATGTTGCGCGCGAGAGGCACGGCGTTGTAATAGAATTGTTTATAATCGTCCATCCAGACTTCGGCGGCGCGTCTGGTGTTACGAGCGAACACGTTCCCGCTGCCGCCGGGGAACGAGTACGGGTGTCGTTTCCGGAACACGTGGCCGACCCGCGAGCACGGGATGATCTCCAAGCTGCCGCCACACTGCCACACCCGGAACGATATCTCTGCGAGCGGATCAGATCAGGAATGACGGCTTCGAACGCGATTGACGAGATGCAAGATCAGATATTTTCTTACCGAGATTCTCGCCGCCCCACACGTCCATTTGCGTGTCGTACTTGCCCAGTTTCTCGAAGTACGCCTTGTTAATCACGAAGAGGCCGCCGGCGATCATCGGCGTTCTAATTGCTTGCGTTGGGTCCTTCTGCCTAGCTTGCCTCTCCGCCTGGCTCAGGTACTCCCACTTGAACACGAGGCTCCAGTCGAATCCACCCCTCAGATCAGCTGAAGCGCCTAAACATGTCATTAATTCAAGTGCGTTCATTAATACTAGATTGCCCAAGGAAGTCATTTTGTCTGCTTTTGGAGCAAATGTACAAATAATAATGCATAAATTATTTTTTTTCC